AATAAACAATCATAAAATATAAGAATAATTTCAATTAAACTGACACCAAATTAAATGGTTATTTTTTAAAAAAATTAACCAAAATTGATCAAACTAAACCTTTCAGTTTGGTTATTGATTTCTAAAAATCAGTAACAAAATTTAATTAACTAATAATTTAGTTTTAGTTGCGATAGAAATCAAACCGCGCCCAGTCCTAACTATTAAATGGTCTTACATTGCATTGCCATTGACAAATAGCCTTAAATTTGGAGCCAACAACTCACTAGTGTTAATCTCTTCTTTAAGTTAAGCAAGATATTCTAGGTTTAAGTTGTAAGCATGTGAGTGGGTTGATTAACAAAATAGAAGAGTCTTATTTTTTATTGTACAACTTAATATACATAAATATAGGAAAGATCTACTCCCACATATATAAATTTTACACATCACATTTATATAAAATTTTAATAATATATCTCTCTACTTTTAATGATTGATATTTATCACAATTTGTTTGATAAAAAATATAATTATCTTTAATAAATGTGAATAAATTTCAACTATTAAAAGTGAAGAGATAAATAATTAAAATTTTGTATGAGTGTGGTGGATAAGTAGAACCTCACTCATATGTAGACATATATAGTGCGTTGCTTTACAGCCAGACTATTTTAGACTGTAAAACAAAGATTGTTTGATGGGGGGAGGGTCTCGAATATTAAGAGACACTCTCTCCATCAAATAGTTAATGTTTTATAATGTAGAATAATTTAAACTGTAAAATATTTTTTTGATATATACATATATTTGAGGATAGTGTAGGGTAGGTTGTTTTCTCAAATTTTTTGTGGAGGACCTATCTAAAAATCCACTTTCTAATTAATATTTTTAAGAAGCAACTATTAAATTGAAAATTTTATTTTTAAAAAACAACTATTAAATTGAAATTTTTATTTGTGTAGATCATACATGTCAATGTTTATATTGATTTAACACCTATAGCCATTTGATTAAACAAACTCTATTTATTGACATATATTTAGCAGTGCTTAATTTTCTTTAATCAATGAAATAGTTAGACTTACTAAAATAATTTGAAAATTAACATGCATGATCTATATGAATAAAATTTTTAATCTAACTGTTGGTTCTTGAAAATATTAATTGGAAAATAAGTTTTTCTTTAGTACAACCTACAAAACACTTATATATATATATATATGAAAAAATGCATAGCAGTCTCAATTTTCAAAATAAATTAGAATCTCAACATTAAATGATATGATTTTATTTAATTAAAACTCAATTCAAAATCTAAAAATCTAACTTATTAAATATTGGTATCTAGATTTAGAAAATGATTATATTAGAATATATAATCAATTTTCAAATCTATGCATCAATATATAATAGGTCAATTTCTAAATTTTAAATTGAAATTAGTTGCAACAAAACACTTATATATATATATATATGAAAAAATGCATAGCAGTCTCAATTTTCAAAATAAATTAGAATCTCAACATTAAATGATAT